ATGTGGCCAGGGCAATAAATTGCAATGTCCGTACTGTGAGACGCCTAAGACAGCGCTACAGGGAGACAGGACGGACAGCTGATCATCCTCGCAGTGGCAGACCACGTGTAACAACACCTGCACAGGATCGGTACATCTGAACATCACACCTGCAGGACAGGTACAGGATGTCAACAACAACTGCCCGAGTTACACCAGGAATGCACAATCCCTCCATCAGTGCTCAGACTGTCCGCAATAGGCTGAGAGAGGCTAGACTGAGGGCTTGTAGGCCTGTTGTAAGGCAGGTCCTCACCAGACATCACCGGCAACAACGTCGCCTATGGGCACAAACCCACCGTCGCTGGACCAGACAGGACTGGCAAAAAGTGCTCTTCACTGACGAGTCGCGGTTTTGTCTCACCACGGGTGATGGTCGGATTCGCGTTTATCGTCGAACGAATGAGCGTTACACCGAGGCCTTTACTCTGGAGCGGGATCGATTTGGAGGTGGAGGGTCCGTCATGGTCTGGGGCTGTGTTTCACAGCATCATCGGACTGAGCTTGTTGTCATTGCAGGCAATATCAACCCTGTGCGTTACAGGGAAGACATCCTCCTCCCTCATGTGGTACCCTTCCTGCAGGCTCATCCTGACATGACCCTCCAGCATGACAATGCCACCAGCCATACTGCTCGTTCTGTGCGTGATTTCCTGCAAGACAGGAATGTCAGTGTTCTGCCATGGTCAGCGAAGAGCCCGGATTTCAATTCCATTGAGCACGTCTGGGACCTGGTGGAAGAGTGGGGTAACATCTCACAGCAAGAACTGGCAAATCTGGTGCAGTCCATGAGGAGGAGATGCACTGCAGTACTTAATGCAGCTGGTGGCCACACCAGATACTGACTGTTATTTTTGTTAATTTTGATCCCCTCGTTGTTCAGGGACACATTATTCGATTTCTGTTAGTCACATGTCTGTGGAACTTGTTCAGTTTATGTCTCAGTTGTTGAATCTTGTTATGTTCATACAAATATTTACACATGTTAAGTTTGGCTGAAAATAAACGCAGTTGACAGTGAGAGGACGTTTCTTTTTTTGCTGAGTTTATTTGATAAAATAGCTTCTGAAAGTCCTTTACTCACCTCGAGCCAGGTTGCAGAGATACATTCCCAGATACACATCCTGATTTTCATTTCAACCATTTAATGTCTACGCTGTACTAAGTGCCTTATTGAAGATCCGATGTTGAAAAAAAAAAAATCCACTGGGGCTGACTCACTTGATCCCTTTTTGCTGCAGCTTTCTGCCCCACTTACTGCAGAATCATGAACCTATATTTTTTACTTGATCATTGTTTCTGGGGTTATCCCTAAGATCTGGAAAACGGCACAAGTCCTCCCCCTACACAAAGGTGGAGATCCTTCTGACTTGGATAACTACAGTCCAATTTCCAAGCTATCTTGCTTTGCTAAAGTTTTAGAGTCTCTAGCCAACTCTCAGCTTAGAACTTTTTTCAACTTTTCATTCTATTCTTAATGAGCACCAATCTGGTTTTAGACCTGGACATAGCACTTTTTCAGTGGCTACTCTTAGATGATGTGCTATATTGTTTAGACCATAAAAATCATTGTGCTGCCTTATTTAGTGAACTGTCGAAGACATTTGATACGGTTGACCATTACTTACTTGTTCAAAGGTTGTCTGAAATAGGCCTAGATCAGGCATCTTGCAATTGGTTCAATAACTATCTAACGGACAGGACACAATGTGTGCTTACTGACGGTATCAAATCTAGTTTCCTCAATATCACGAAAGTTGTGCCGCAGGCGCCGATTTTGGGCCCTGTTTTCTTCACTATTTATATTAATAATATTGGTGTATCTGTTAAAACCTGTAACATTCATCTCTACGCAGATGATACAGTTATTTACTCCTGTGCCCCCTCAGTACAGAAGGTAATTCATGACCTTCAGCATGGTTTTGACTTAATTCAAAAATCACTTATTGTTCTAACACTAGTGCTAAATACTAATAAACCAAGTTTATGTTGTTCTCTAGGTCTATATTTAGAGCCATCCATCGTTCCTTCAATTCTGACCAGTTTCCCAGTCCCTGCCGATGAAAAACATCCCCACAGCATGATGCTGCCACCACCATGCTTCACTGTGGGGATGGTGTTCTCGGGGTGATGAGAGGTGTTGGATTTGCGCCAGACATAGCGTTTTCCTTGATGGCCAAAAAGCTCAATTTTAGTCTCATCTGACCAGAGTACCTTCTTCCATATATTTGGGGAGTCTCCCACATGCCTTTTGGTGAACACCAAATGTGTTTGCTTATTTTTTTCTTTAAGCAATTTTTCTGGCCACTCTTCTGTAAAGCCCAGCTCTGTGGAGTGTACAGCTTAAAGTGGTCCTATGGACAGACACTCCAATCTCCGCTGTGGAGCTTTGCAGCTCCTTCAGGGTTATCTTTGGTCTCTTTGTTGCCTCTCTGATTAATGCCCTCCTTGCCTGGTCCGTGAGTTTTGGTAGGCGGCCCTCTCTTGGCAGGTTTGTTGTGGTGCCTTATTCTTTCAATTTTTTAATAATGGATTTAATGGTGCTCCGTGGGATGTTCATGTTTTTTTATAACCCAACCCTGAGCTGTACTTCTCCACAACTTTGTCCCTGACCTGTTTGGAGAGCTCCTTGGTCTTCATGGTGCCGCTTGCTTGGTGGTGCCCCTTGCTTAGTGGTGTTGCGGACTCTGGGGCCTTTCAGAATAGGTGTATATATACTGAGATCATGTGACAGATCATGTGACACTTAGATTGCACACAGGTGGACTTTATTTAACTAATTATGTGACTTCTGAAGGTAATTGGTTGCACCAGATCTTATTTAGGGGCTTCATAGCAAAGGGGGTGAATACATATGCATGCACCACTTTTCCGTTATTTATTTTTTAGAATTTTTTGAAAGAAGTTATTTTTTTCATTTCACTTCACCAATTTGGACTATTTTGTGTATGTCCATTACATGAAATCCAAATAAAAATCCATTTAAATTACAGGTTGTAATGCAACAAAATAGGAAAAACGCCAAGGGGGATGAATACTTTTGCAAGGCACTGTATTCCAATGAAGTTAGATCTATAATTGTTTTTTATATATACAAGTATGAAAGCCTTAAGATAAATAATCCACTTGTTTAGAGAGAAAAATTTAGATTTTTGTTGTTGTAAAGTAGTAATATGTTGGACGAGTGTGTTGGGGGCAACTTGCCCCCCCCTACTAGGGGGTAACTGGCCCCTGGGGGCTAGTTACCCCTTTATGGTTATGAATGTGTTTCTACCTGTCATTAGACAATGACTAGCCCAGTTAGCGCTAGTTTATGCTAACTTGCTAGCTAGCAACTTCACTAGCAGTAAATGCTAGCCAGCTAGCTAGTTAGCATAAGCTGCTAGGAGTGCTAGCTAGCAACCTTACTACCAGATTGTCTGAGGTAAAATACATTAAAAAGATAACGTAACTTAATTGCAGTTGTAAATGTTTCCACTAGTGACTGATAGCTTTACAGTTATTGTTACTTTATAGCCTTTTAACAATTTTACACAGCATTTTATGTCATATTGTTGGATAGCTAGCTACGTTTTTGAGAGTTTTTCAATTACATTTACATTTTAGTCATTTAGCTGACGCTTTTATCCAGAGCGACTTACAGTTAGTGAGTGCATACATTATTTTTTGTTATAATTTTTTAATTTTTTCATACTGGCCCCCCATGGGAATCGAACCCACAACCCTGGCGTTGCAAACGCCATGCTCTACCAACTGAGCTACATCCCTGCCGGCCATTCCCTCCCCTACCCTGGACGACGCTGGGCCAATTGTGCGCCGCCCCATGGGTCTCCCGGTCGCGGCCGGCTACGACAGAGCCTGGATACGAACCAGGATCTCTAGTGGGACAGCTAGCACTGCGATGCAGTGCCTTAGACCACTGCGCCACTCGGGAGACAATTGGCATCTCTCCCCGTTTTCAGTCACAGATGGACTCTGGATTAGGTGTGAGCAGTGCAGGAGGTGGGCTCATGAGTTGTTACTCCAATTTTACTGGAGATAGCTTTATTTGTGACATATGTACAAATTAGAATCGTGCAATAGCAGAGCATAAGAGAGTTGCCACATTAATTAGTTAAGTTATTGTTATTAAATGTTATATTCCAATGTTATTTAATGTTATTAGTTATATTCCATTGCAATATTATATTCCAAAGATTATTATTTATTTATTTTTGGGGGTGGGGGGGGGGGGGGGGGGATTACAAACAACTATTGAAAATGTAAATGTAAATGAAAACCTTTTGCTCCTGAATGTCATTTTAAAGACTGCTGGTATTTAAAATCTTGCATTATTCAAATAGTATTTAGTGCAATTGTACATAATGGATCGTATGGAAAAGGAACAACAAAATAGAGGGACTACATCAAATCTCCTCATGGTGTGGATATTAATGGTGATATGTGCAATACCATACTAGTACCCTACTATCAATTGGCGAGAGAGAGCCTCAAATATCACATTCAACTGTACACATCCACTGTAGACATGCATCACTGCAAAATTGGTTCCTGTCTCAGTCACGTCTTTGGTCATGTTCGAGTGGGTCAAACAAAAACACCCTAATGAGTGACAATAGAACCTCCACAATGCAGGTGATGGCTGCAGGGTGAAGAGTGGTGAAGAGCAACTGCAGAAATTTGCAGTTGACTGCAGTGAAAAACGTCATGACCTTTGATCACATTGTTTACGTAAACTTCATGCAGTCATCATGTAGGCGCAAGTCACAATTTTTATACCCTAGCACTACACCACTAATTCAAATAACCAACTCTTCATCAAGTTTTGATTATTTTAATCAGCTGTGTTGTGCTAGGGTAAAAACCAAAACGTCCACCCAAGTGGGGCCCCAGGACCGAGTTTGGGAAACCCTGCCCTAATGCAACACACTTTGGAAGGCGACTTGACAAAAGTGATCCACTTGAACGCGCCCATTTTCACCCCATTTCCTGTCGGACGGAATCAAGTATTTCGGCCGTATACGATTGACAGTTGAAGTCTTCCGCATAATATGCTAAAGACAGCGGGGTGTAAGAAGAAAACAACAGGTAGCTAGCTATACAATTTAGCAATCAAAAAAAAAAGGTAAGATAACAATTTCACTGCAACACAGCCTAGCTCATTTGCATATTTTCATTAATAATTATTTCTTCAGATAGCTACATTATTACAATAGTTTCAGTGTCGAAATCATTTGCTCGTATGAAGAATAATTTTGTTGGGCGCAATACTGCCTGCTCACGAGCTGCCAAAAAAGCTCTCGGTGCACGGAGTCAGTGTCTTGTTTTTTCCTCGAGCGTCTGTCGTGTCTGCATTTGTTGTTGTGCTGAATTCGCTGCCATATATGGACATCTATTAAACCAGTTTAACGGATCATAATGATTTAATATCACTAACCCCAATTTGCATTAGGTAAAGTAACTGCATATTTGTGATTAGTTGATATATTTGGAACAGAACTTGCAACAATGTAGCCGAATGCCCCATTACAAGAAACTCACATAGCCACATTAACCGCAGCAGTGAGGGGGTAGTTGCAGTAGTCTCGCGTTGCGATAACTCCAAAGTCACGTCGTTGACTGTTTTAAGGAAGACTGGGGCCTTATTTATAAAGGTTTTGTATGCTCAAAATATGCCCCAAAACATGCGATGCGAGCGTTAGTTTTCACGCCAAATTTGGCATTTATAAAAACAGAACTTGTCTTGAATGTGCTTTTCCTCCCGCAAGCTTTAGACCATGCGTAAGCACAGTTTCTATTGCATTGCAAGAAGGCTAAAGTAGCCTAGTAGCCTTGTGCAGGAATATGACACTTATTCATAACAAAAACAGGTAAATAAATAACAAGATGCAAACATTAGTGAGAAGAGCTAAAATCGATGTATTTTATCTTTGCATTCTAAAATAATTAGAAATAGGCATTACATTTATATTTAAGGCCTTATCCAGAGCGACTTAGTACATTAGTCTTAAAATGGCTAGGTGGGACAACTGCAATCAGTCATAGTAAGTACATTTTTCTTCAATCAAGTAGCAAGTAGGCATCTATTTCCAATTATTTATTTCATTTCCATGATCATTGCAGAATAAATTAATCACCTTTTCTGACTGATGGTTTCATAGTCGCAAATAGCCTATAAACCTACAACAAGTTAGGATAGGCTACCATTAATCCCATATAATTGGTCCCACTTCAGTAGTAAATAGATAAGCTATTTCAAGTATTTTGCTTTGTGATCCGATGCGCAGTTTAATGGTAGAACAGATGGCTCACTTTTTCCACTGATGTTTGTAGGCTACGTCTGAATACCATGATGTCAAATTTCTCGAGTAGACAATATCATTTATAAACATAATTCATACACTGAGTGTACAAAACATTAGGAACACCTTCCAAATATTGAGTTGCACCCCCTTTTGTCCTCAGAACAGTCTCAATTCGTCAGGGCATGGTCTACAAGGTGTCGAAAGCGTTCCACAGGGATGCTGGCCCATGTTGACTCCAATGCTTCCCACAGTCGTCAAGTTGGCTGGATGTCCTTTGGGTGGTGGACCATTCTTGATACACACAGGAAACTGTTGAGTGTGACGAAACCAGCAGCGTTGGTGGTTCTTGACACACTAAAACCGGTGCACCTGGCATCTACTACCATACCCCTTTCAAAGGCACTTAAATGTTTTGTCTTGCCCATTCACTCTCTGAATGGCACACATACACAATCCATGTCTCAATTTTCTCAAGGCTTAAAAATCATTCTTTAATCTGTCTCCTCCCCTTCATCTACACTGATTGAAGTGGATTTAACAGGTGGCATCAATAAGGGATCATAGCTTTCACTTGGATTCACCTGGTCAGTCTGTATTTATTATGAATCCCAATTAGCTGCTGCCAAGGCAGCACCTACTCTTCCTGGGGTCCAGCAAAATTAAGTCAGTTATACAATTGTAAAAACATTACAATACATTCACAACAGATTTCACAACACATTAAGTGTTTGCCCTCAGGCCCCTACTCTACTACCACATATCTACGACACAAAATCCATGTGTACGTGTGTGTATGCATGTGCCTGTGCCTATGTTTGTGTTGCTTCACAGTCCCCGCTGTTCAATAAGGTGTATTTGTATCTGTTTTCTAAATGGAATTGTACTGCTTGCATGAGGAATACTACTTGATGTGGAATAGAGTTCCATGCTGTCATGGCTCTACGTAGTACTGTGCGCCTCCCATAGTCAGTTCTGGACTTGGGGACTGTGAAGAGACCTCTGGTGGCATGTCTTGTGGGGTATGCATGGGTGTCTGAGCTGTGTGTCAGTAGTTCAAACAGACAGCTCGGTGCATTCAACATGTCAATACCTCTCACAAATACAAGTAGTGATGAAGTCAATCTCTCCTCCCCTTTGAGCCAGGAGAGATTTAAATGCATATTATTAATGTTGGCTCTCTGTGTACATCCAAGGGCCAGCCATGCTGCCCTGTTCTGAGCCAATTGCAATTTTCCAATTTGTGGCACCTGACCACACGACTGAACAGTAGTCCAGGTGTGACAAAACTAGGGCCTGTAGGACCTGCCTTGTTGATAGTGCTGTTAAGAATGCAGAGCAGCGCTTTATTATAGACAGACTTCTCCCCATCCTAGCTACTGTTGTATCAATATGTTTTGACCACGACAGTTTACAATCCAGGGTTACTCCAAGCAATTTTTGTCTTTTCGAAACATTCAGATAGGCTACAGCAAATGTCACTGCAAAAGAAAACATTTTGCCAACATCTCCAAAGACATTTGATCTAGTTCGCCATTGATATTTTTCCTTTAGATAAAGTCTTGGTCTAATTCCATTACTTCCAAGTTATAGAGCAAATAAGTGTATAATTGTCACAATAAAAGATTAATGATGGGCGTTTTTCAGGTGGAGTTAAAATGCTTGTTCATGCGCGCACAGATTCACGACAGGTCTGATTTTATAACGGGAAACATGCATATGCATGGCGTGTGCTAAGTTGATAAATCTCAATATTTTTGTGTGTGTGCAGTCTTTTCAGAAATGGCGCATGCAGATATTTAGTGTAAAATGTATGCAACGGTAATAAATGAGGCCCCTGGTTCTCGATGAGGGTACAGTGGTAGCAATGCATTAGTAAACAATCATCAGTATTGGCCAGAGGTCTCATTTATAACCGTTGCGTAAATTTGATACAATCTGCGTGCGCCATTTCTCAAAAGCCTACGCACTCACAAAAATATTGTGATTTCTAAACTTGGCGCACACCATGCACACGCATGTTTCCCGTTATAAATCAGACCTGTCGTAAAACGGTGCGCGCGCCTGAAAAACGCAGCATCTAAAGGAAATAGCAATGGCCAACTTGATCAAATGTCTTTTGGAGGTGTTGGCAAAATGTTTTCTTTTCCAGTGACATTTGCTGTAGCTGACTGTATCTGAAAGTCAAAAACAATTGCAAATGGTTGTGGACCTGTAAACAGATATTTTGAATTTAATGTTTTGCATTTACTTTTTCCCAAACTTAAATATGCTGCACTGCCCGCAAATTCTGAAACATTGTCTACTCTGAAATGTTATAACTACAGTAGGCCTACTTACAGTGGTAGCCTACACACTTCAATGCAAAATATCAACTGTCTGTTCACCTGTTAAATTCTACTGTATGTTATAAACTGTGCTCCCTTTTGGATGCATAGATAAAAAACTTGAAATTATACAACATTTTACTTTTTTTTTTTTTTACTAGTCTATCTAATAGGCCCAAGTAAATGAGAGATGGTTTTGCTGGTTTTGTCACACTCAACATGTAATTTGTTGTATGGCTACTTCAGGAATATTAACTCATCATGGCCAGAAAAGGTGAGGAATTTATTCTGCAAAGGATATGATGGGTATATGCATTATGTTTATGATTGAAATATTGTCTACTCGAGAAATGTTACATTACAGTATTCAGATGTAGGCTAGCCTACAAACGTCAATGGAAAAGGTGTACAGTCTGTTCAATCGTTAAATGGATCGGATAGAGCAAAATACTGTATTTACTACTCTGAAGTGGGCCCAATTAAATGAGCGATGGGACGATGGTAGCCTATCCTAACTTGTTGTAGGCCTATAGGCTATTTCCCGAGGATGAAACTATCACAGTAAGAAAAGGTGAATAATTTATTCTGCAATGATCACGGAAATGAAATAAATAATAGGAAATAGATGCCTATTTCTAATTATTTTAGAATGCAAAGATAAAACCAGTTTTTTTTTTTGTATGAATAAGAGTTTCATCATATATTCCCCATTTGCACAAGGCTACGACTAGTCTACTTTTGCCTCCTTGCGATGCAATATTTCAACCACTAGAAACTAAAGCCCTCAAACTCAATTCTGGACCTCGAAGCCAGTTCCTCTGCCTTTTTTCATTGTTCCCCTCTAATCAGGGACTAATTTAGACCTGGGACACCAGGAGGGTGCAATTAATTATCAGAACAGAAAAAGCTCCTGACCTCGTAGGGTAAGAGTTGAATACCCCTGCTCTAAAGTTAGCGGGAGGATAAGCACGGTCTCACGTCAAGTTCAGGTTTTATGCCAACTTTTGCGTGAACTGGTGCACGCAAGTTTTGGGGCATATTTTGTTTGTACACAACATTTATAAATGTGGCCCCGGGGATGGGCAACTCCAGACCTCTGGGGCCGAAGTGGTTTCACACTTTTTTCCCCATCCCTAGCAAACACAGCTGATTTAAACTAATTGCATTCTAAACTGAAGATCATGATTAGTTGATTATTGGAGTCAGGTTTGTTAGCTGGGGCAAAAGTGTAACACCAATCAGGCCCCCGAGGACTGGCGTTGCCCAGCCTATCAATGTAGAAAGTTGCCATTGCTACAATTGATTAGACTAATGTAGCTTCTGTACCTACTGTGCTATTGTACTGTAGGCCAATATAACCCTGATCAGAATTTTGTATAACCCTGAACTACCTCACCTAGTTAAGGGCTTGATGATTAGTTTACAAGTAACCTAACGTAGCAGGCGTAAAAGAAACGCCTGAGCTGCGTTTCTTTCTTTCTGGTCCTGATGAGGGGAAAAAAACTGCATTGGCGGTTATCTTCTGCATTGTTCAACCAATCCAGTAAATGTGGAGGAGGAGTTAAGATGGAGTGTCGCCTTGTTAACCGAGTTTATAAACCCAGAGGCGCAACATCGCGAGACTTCCGGGAACGCATGTGAAGCACACCTGTGCCCGGTTTCCCAAAAGCATCTTAAGGCTAAATTCATTGTTAGAACCGTCGTAGGAGCATTGTTAGATCTCCGAGATGTTTCCCAAAACCATTGTTATTAACGTTGTCCTTGAAAATGCTCATAATCTAACGCCTGCCTCAGACCACTCGTAGAACAGCTAAGTAGATCCTTTTTAGCCCTAACGCGTCACTTTATCCACAAAGATCTCCACTAAACAACTTCAGGACAAAGTTGACTACCAATACAAAGTTGCCAATGTCTTTGCATTTGATACAAACAAGCAACGTATAAAAAGATGCTTCAAATCATGACCGAGATGACTGCATAAAAATATAAACAGTAGGCTATATGCCTATTTAAATCATATTGAAATACATTTAATGTTCAATCAATTGAGTTCTGTTTTTGCTACTTGTAGGCCACTGTCTGTAATTTCTCTCAATATATTTGATGATGTGTAGCCTAACGTGCGCAATGATGTGCCAAATCGATGATTTTAGTGCATTTTTATTGGGTAAGCATTAGAATAAGCCGCCTCAACATTTTCAGCCGTAGGTGGTAATATCTCTCTAGGAGCTGATCCGTTGTCAGTTTTGTGAAATAATTATAATGTTAAGGTAAGATTTGAATGGAGAAAGCTGATCCGAGAGCAGCGCTCTCTTTATTTCGATCCTATCAGTATCGACGCATGCTCCAACGACGATACTTAGCGACTGTTCTCTCTGCGTGGTGTTTTGGGAAACCCATGCTACATCTTCGGCCTTTGTAGGAAAGATGCATTGTTAAAACACTTTTAAGTTCCATCGCTATCGGGAAACCAGGCCCAGGCTTGGGTTTGAGAAGCCATTGAGAGAATTAAAAAATCCTTCCTTAGTTAATTTTCTTGGAATCTAAACGCACAGATTCGAGCTAATGTCTTAAGTAGTTGAACATGTTATTACTCCAACCTCTTGAAAGTGACAAACTGACACGTTTTCATTTTCGTCCAAAACAACTTTGTATCGAAGGAGTGCCTTTTGATTTGATGACAGTTAGACCCAGTGACGTATTTCTGCGCATGAGCTTAGCTAGCTAACGTCGCAAAGACATTGCCAAACAGGCGTCATCTGCGATTTCGATTGGGGAAGCAGTTTCTGCCTGTCTTTTATTTGAAAACATTTTTGGGGGTGTATATCAGATTTAATATTGCATATAGATTGTAGCTTCCATCAATGTAATTGTCGGCATCATGGTGGGGTTAGGGGAACATAATGGAAAATATATATTAAAAAAAGAGAGCGATAGATAGATATCTCTCTCTTAAAAAAATTAAAATAAATCCATTTTATGTTCCCCTAACCCCACCACCCCTCCCCTAATTTGAGTAAACTAATGGAAAACAACACTTAGGCTTCTACTTCCAGCTTATACATACTATATACATTTTACAGACACAACATATTTTACAATAGTTCTCTTTTTTATTTGTTATCCTTCAGCCACCCTCAACCCCTCCCATCTACAGTGCATTCGGAAAGTATTCAGACCTCTTGACTTTTTCCACATTTTGTTAAAATTGATTAAATTGTTTTTTTCCCTCATCAATCTACACACATACCCCATAATATCACATTTACATAAGTATTCAGACCCTTTACTCAGTACTTTGTTGAAGCACCTTTGGCAGCGATTACAGGCTCGAGTCTTCTTGGGTATGATGCTACAAGCTTGGCACACCTTTATTTGGGGAGTTTCTCCCATTCTTCTCTGCAGATCCTCTCAAGCGCTGTCAGGTTGGATGGGGAGTGTCGCTGCACAGCTATTTTCAGGTCTTTTCAGAAATGATAGATCGGGTTCAAGTCCGGGCTCTGGCTGGGCAACTCAAGGACATTCAGAGACGTCCCGAAGCCACTCCTGCGTTGTCTTGGCTGATTGCTTAGGGTCATTGTCCTGTTGGAAGGTGAACCTTCACCCCAGTCTGAGGTCATGAGCGCTCTGGAGCAAGTTTTCATGAAGGATCTCTCTGTACTTTGCTCCGTTCATCTTTCCCTCGATCCTGACTAGTCTCCCAGTCCCTGCCGCTGAAAGATCCCCAAAGCATGATGCTGCCACCACCATGCTTCATGCGTAGAGATGGTGCCAGGTTTCCTCCAGACGTGATGCTTGGCATTCAGGCCAAAGAATTCAATGTTGGTTTCATCAGACCAGAGAGTCTTGTTTCTCATGGTCTGACAGTCCTTTTAGGCGACTTTTGGAAAACTCCAAGTGGCCTGATTGGTGGAGTGCTGCAGAGATGGTTGCCCTTCTGGAAGGTTCTCCCATCCCCAGTCCCCAGCTCTGTCAGAGTGACCATCGTGTTCTTGGTCACCTCCTTGACCAAGGCCCTTCTCCGATTGCTCATTTTGGCCAGGCGGACAGCTCTAGGAAGAGTCTTGGTGGTTCCAAACTTCTTCCATTTAAGAATGATTGAGGCCACTGTGTTCTTGGGGACCTTCAATGCTGCAGACATTTTCTGGTACCCTTCCCCAGATCTGTGCCTCGACACAATCCTGTCTCCGAGCTCTACGGACAATTCCTTAATAATAATAATAATAATAATAATATGCCATTTAGCAGACGCTTTTATCCAAAGCGACTTACAGTCATGCGTGCATACATGTTATTTTTTTTTGTGTATGGGTGGTCCCGGGGATCGAACCCACTACCTTGGCGTTACAAGCGCCGTGCTCTACCAGCTGAGCTACAGAGGACCACGTCCTTCAACCTCATGGCTTGGTTTTTGCTCTGACATGCACTGTCAACTGTTGGGCCTTATATAGACAGGTGTGTGCCTTTCCAAATAATGTCCAATCAATTGAATTTACCACAGGTGGACTCCAATCAAGTTGTAGAAACATCTCAAGGTTGATCAATAGAAACAGGATGCACCTGAGCTCAATTGAGTCTCATAGCAAAGGGTCTGAATACTTATGTAAATAAGGTATTTAATGTTTTTTATTTGTAATACATTTGCAAACATTTCTAAAAACCTGTTTTTGCTTTGTCATTATGTGGTATTGTGTGTAGATTGCTGAGGAAAACATTTCATTTAATCAATTTTAGAGTAAGGCTGTAACGTAACAAAATGTGGAAAAAGTCAAGGGGTCTGAATACTTTCTGAATGCACTGTATGTACAGTATGTGTGGATATAATATGTAGAAATCTGAAGAATAGTATATGTACAGCAATAGTTAAATATGTGATGTACAATATACATTTAGTCACGCTTGAGGGAGGCTTTTAATGGAAGTAATGAGAATGATGAAAGGTTTCAAGCAGAGCCATAGATAGATAGATGGATAGATGGCTCTGGTTTCAAGTATTATTTTACATGGGGTAATATACTAAAGTAAATGGTAGTAATGCAAATAGGTCTACTGCCTGCATTTGAAATAAAAGCAGGCAAGCAAATTGATTGAATTGACCCTAACCTTGTTGTGAAATGTAAACCGCATGTACTGAAGGGCTCGCTTTTCTCTTTTTCAGCTGAGGCAGGGATGCATCCGGCATCCATCTGCAGTGAGCCACACTGGATGTGATAAGTTGGCGGGCCTTCTTCTGACCAGTGGGCGTGGCCAATACCTGCAAGCAGCAGGTGTGGGCGCACCCCTTGAGTGGTGGGCGTTGCCAAAGCCCCTCTGCCTTTACTGTCATTTGCTGTGACTGGAGAAGCAACCAGCTAGCTGACTGACCTTTCATTAGTGGGGGGTGCCAGCCCAGCGTGAAGGGCGTGGCCTGTTATGGAGAGCATAAGTGGTAGCAGCGTGGACTCGAGAGCCACCCTTCGGGGCATAAACACCACACCTCTCTCGGCCCGCATAGAGTCTTACGAGGCGAGCGAGAAGAAGTGTATCTCCGATGTCAGGAGGACATTCTGCCTCTTTGTCACCTTTGACCTCCTCTTCATCACCTTGCTCTGGATCATTGAGCTCAATGTAAGTAGTTTTTTTCAATGCGCCATGAAAGTGAATACAGATAAGTGCACTCTGGATATGTGCAAACTCCTGCAATGAGTGTTTTCAGTCCCAATTCAATGACATTATAATGAATCGCTCCTGTTAACTTCTTGCTCCGGTTTAGGGCACACTGTCACTACATGACAGTTGTACCAAGCTGTTGCATTTATCAGGCCCTTTCATAGCTTATTAACGTATTGATAGAGCTCAATATTAACTACTGTAGTTTAAGATTAATGTATCGATGTGTGAATACTTTTTTAACACTACCTTTTGTTACTGGTGACGTGTATCCAAAGGACACTTCATTTACAGTGGGGAATAAAAGTATTTAGTCAGCCACCAATTGTGCAAGTTCTCCCACTTAAAAAGATGAGAGATGCCTGTAATTTTCATCATAGGTACACGACAACTATGACAGACAAATTGAGGGAAAAAAAATCCAGAAAATCACATCGTAGGATTTTTAATGAATTTATTTGCAAATTATGGTGGAAAATAAGTATTTGGTCACCTACAAACAAGCAAGATTTCTGGCTCTCACAGACCTGTAACTTCTTCTTTAAGAGGCTCCTCTGTCCTCCACTCGTTACCTGTATTAATGGCACCTGTTTGAACTTGTTATCAGTATAAAAGACACCTGTCCACAACCTCAAACAGTCACACTCCAAACTCCACTATGGCCAAGACCAAAGAGCTGTCAAAGGACACCAGAAACAAAATTGTAGACCTGCACCAGGCTGGGAAGACTGAATCTGCAATAGGTAAGCAGCTTGGTTTGAAGAAATCAACTGTGGGAGCAATTATTAGGAAATGGAAGACATACAAGACCACTGATAATCTCCCTCGATCTGGGGCTCCACGCAAGATCTCACCCCTTGGGGTCAAAATGATCACAAGAACGGTGAGCAAAAATCCCAGAACCACACGGGGGGACCTAGTGAATGACCTGCAGAGAGCTGGGACCAAAGTAACAAAGCCTACCATCAGTAACACACTACGCCGCCAGGGACTCAAATCCTGCAGTGCAAGACGTGTCCCCCTGCTTAAGCCAGTACATGTCCAGGCCCGTCTGAAGTGCATTTGGATGATCCAGAAGAGGATTGGGAGACTGTCATATGGTCAGATGAAACCAAAATATAACTTTTTGGTAAAAACTCAACTCGTCATGTTTGGAGGACAAAGAATGCTGAGTTGCATCCAAAGAACACCATACCTACTGTGAAGCATGGGGGTGGAAACATCATGCTTTGGGGCTGTTTTTCTGCAAAGGGACCAGGACGACTGATCCGTGTAAAGGAAAGAATGAATGGGGCCATGTATCGTGAGATTTTGAGTGAAAACCTCCTTCCATCAGCAAGGGCATTGAAGATGAAATGTGGCTGAGTCTTTCAGCATGACAATGATCCCAAACACACCGCCCGGGCAACGAAGGAGTGGCTTCGTAAGAAGCATTTCAAGGTCCTGGAGTGGCCTAGCCAGTCTCCAGATCTCAACCCCATAGAAAATCTTTGGAGGGAGTTGAAAGTCTGTGTTGCCCAGCAACAGCCTCAAAACATCACTGCTCTAGAGGAGATCTGCATGGAGGAATGGGCCAAAATACCAGAAACAGTGTGTGAAAACCTTGTGAAGACTTACAGAAAACGTTTGACCTGTGTCATTGCCAACAAAGGGTATATAACAAAGTATTGAGAAACTTTGGTTATTGACCAAATACTTATTTTCCACCATCATTTGCAAATAAATTCATTAAAAATCCTACAATGTGATTTTCTGGATTATTTTTTCCTCATTTTGCCTGTCATAGTTGACGTGTACCTATGATGAAAATTACAGGCCTCTCTCATCTTTTTAAGTGGGAGAACTTGCACAATTGGTGGCTGACTAAATACTTTTTTTCCCCACTGTAATATAACAGACTTTTAAAAGCTATATTGGTGCACAATTTCTACTTAAAATATCAAAGGCACGCTTTTTGTGGAACGACCCACATATTTTATTGTAGTCCTGCATACAGAGTTTACATAACACTGCCTTTTACTTCTTGAAACGGGTGTATTCATTATGCCGATTTACTCCAAACGGAAACCATTTTGCAACAAAATCGAGAGTTTCTATTGAAAAATTCAGTAAGGTCCCTTCCCTTTTTGTTCCGTTTGGTTCTTAAATGGTTTCCATTGCAAGACGTAATGAATACACTCCTGGTTTCAGTGTCTTTTCACTGTGGGAAAATAACACTTCTCATTGTTAAAAATAGTGGGCCAATTTTAACCAACATTGGCCACTAGATTATTGCCAGCTGATCTCTCCTTAAACCATTAATACATGCTAAAATCACCCGCACAGCTGATCTCAATTGCAACCATCATCCGCCACCGATTTTCCGCTCCATAACACGGATGGCAAATGTACCATTGCAAATCTATTATGACAATTTCTTATCAAATTTTGTCATGTGCCGAATACTACAGGTATAGACTTTACTGTGAAATGCTTACTTATGAACCCTTTCCCAACAATGCAGAGTTAAAGTTTAAAAAAATTGCAAAAGATTTAAGAAAATGGTAACCCAATAAAATGGTGGTCCTCTGTAGCTCAGCTGGTAGAGCACGGCGCTTGTAACGCCAAGGTAGTGGGTTCGATCCCCGGGACCACCCATACACAAAAAAAAAAAATGTATGCACGCATGACTGTAAGTCGCTTTGGATAAAAGCGTCTGCTAAATGGCATATTATTATTATTATTATTATTATTAAAATAACGAGACCATATACAAGGATTACCGGTACCGAGTTAATGTGCAGGGGTATGAGGTAGTTGAAGTAAGTGAGGTAATATGTACATGTAGGTAGGGGTAAAACGGACTAGGCAATCAGGATAGATAATAAACAGAGTAGCAGCAGCGTGTGTGTGTGTGTGAGAGAGCGTATCTAGTGTATGTGTGCAGAGTCTTTCCCTCGATCACACCACAGAAAGCAGTGAGCTAGGCTGAAACACCTGCATTTTGGAGCTGCCTTATTCAAGAGACCATGTTTGTATGCGGCTTTATTAACTTAAGGATGATTTTTTTTTTAAACTTTGTATGCAAACTAATATATAACATCAATTAATGCCAAAATATACAATTATTTTGGGGGGGCTAAACAGGTAGGGCTCTTGAGGGTTCTGCCCCACCTGCCCTGAATGACGGGTCGCCACTGAGGTTATTTTGTAGTTGTATTTTGTCATTTACACTAACTTTCAAAAGTTTGGGGTCACTTAGAAATGTCCTTGTTTTCGGAAGAAAAGTTATTTTAATGCTTTTCTTTCGAAAACAAGGACATTTCTAAGTGACCCCAAACCTTTGAACGGTAGTGTACATTAGAGTGTCTAGTTTGAGAAACAGACTCCTCACAGGTCCTCAACTGGCATATTCATTAAATAGTACCCGCAAAACACCAATCTCAACGTCAACAGTGAAGAGGCGACTCCGGGATGCTGACCATCTAGGCAGAGTTGCAAAGTATGTAATGTATTTGTCCTCTTGCTCAGTTGTGCACCGGGGCCTCCCACTCCTCTTTCTATTCTGGTTAGAGCAAGTTTGCGCTGTTCTGTGAAGGGAGTAGTACACAGCGTTGTACAAGATCTTCAGTTTCTTGGCAATTTCTCGCATGGAATAGCCTTCATTTCTCAGAACAAGAATAGACTGACGAGTTTCAGAAGAAAGTTATTTGTTTCTGGCCATTTTGATCCTGTAATCGAACCCACAATTGCTGATGCTCCAGCACAACAGTTTTCATCTAACATAATTGCAAAAGGGTTTTCTAATGATCAATTAGCCTTTTTAAAATGATAAACTTGGATTAGCAAACACAACTTGCCATTGGAACACAGGACTGATGGTTGCTGATAATTGGCCTATGTACGCCTATGTAGATATTCCATTAAGAATCAGCCGTTTCCAGATACAATAGCCATTTACAACATTAACAATGTCTACACTGTATTTCTGATCAATTTGATGTTATTTTAATGGACAAAAAAATTCTTTCGAAAACAAGGACATTTCTAAGTGACCCCAAACTTTTGAACGGTTATGTGTGTGCGTACACACACACACAGTACCAGTCAAAAGTTTGGACACACCTACTCATTCCAGGGTTTTTCTTTTCTTTTTACTATTTTCTACATTGTAGAATAATAGTGAAGACATCAAAACTATGAAATAACACATATGGAATCATGTAATAACCAAAAAAGTGTTAAACAAATCAAAATATATGTTATATTTGAGATTCTTCAAAGTAGCCACCCTTTGCCTTGATGACAGCTTTGCACACTCTTGGCATTCTCTCAACCAGCTTCATGAGGTAGTCACCTGGAATGCATTTCAATTAACAGGTGTGCTTTGTTAAAAGTTAATTGTGGAATTTCTTTCCTTAATGCGTTTGAGCCAATCAGTTGTGTTGTGACAAGGTAGGGGTGGTATACAGAAAATAGCTCCATTTGGTAAAAGACCAAATCCTTATTATGGCAAGAACAGCTCAAATAAGCAAAGAGAAACGACAGTCCATCATTACTTTAAGACATGAATGTCAGTCAATCCGGAAAAGTCTCATGAGGACCGCCACAGGAAAGGAGGACCCAGAGTTACCTCTGCTGCAGAGGATAAGTTCATTAGAGTTACCAGCCTCAGAAATTGCAGCCCAAATAAATGCTTCACAGAGTTCAAGTAACAGACACATCTCAACATCAACTGTTCAGAGGAGACTGCGTGAATCAGGCCTTTATGGCCGAATTGCTGCAAAGTAACCACTACTAAAGGACACCAATAAGAAGAGACTTGCTTGTGCCAAGAAACACGAGCATTGGACATTAGAACGGTGGAAATCTGTCCTTTTGGTCCGATGAGTCCAATTTTGAGATTTTTGGTTCCAACCGCCGTGTCTTTGTGAGACGCAGCGTAGGTGAACGGATGATCTTTGCATGTGTGGTTCCACCGTGAAGCATGGAGGAGGAGTTGTGATGGTGTGGGGGTGCTTTGCTGGTGACACTATCTGTGATTTATTTAGAATTCAAGTCACACTTAACCAGCATGGCTACCACAGCATTCTGCAGCGACACGCCATCCCATCTGGTTTGCGCTTAGTGGGACTATCATTTGTTTTTCAACAGGACAATGACCCAACACACCTCCAGGCTGTGTAAGGGCTATTTGATCAAGAAGGAGAGTGATGGAGTGCTGCATCAGATGACCTGGCCTCCACAATCACCCGACCTCAACCCAATTGAAATGGTTTGGGATGAGTTGGACCGCAAAGTGAAGGAAAAGCAGCCAACAAGTGCTCAGCATATGTGGGAACTCCTTCAAGACTGTTGGAAAAGCATTCCAGGCGAAGCTGGTTGAGAGAATGCCAAGAGTGTGCAAAGCTATCATCAAGGCAAAGGGTGTCTATTTGAAGAATCTCAAATATAAAATATATTTTGATTCGCTTAACACTTTTTTGATTACTACATGATTCCATATGTGTTATTTCATAGTTTTGATGTCTTCACTATTATTATGCAATGTAAAAAATAGTAAAAAAATAAAGAAAAACCGTTGAATGAGTAGGTATGTCCAAACATTTGACTGGTAGTGTATGTATGTATATGTTGTTGTTTTTTTTTTTGGGGGGGGGGGATACTGTGTATTTATATAGCATTATATGATATATTGCATTTGGAAAAGAGACCTATGTCTCAATAAAAAAATATTTGATTGCCTGGTTTAATGGACCAATGGAATTATGGCTGTCCCCAACAACAAAAACATCTTGGTCGAAAAACGTGTATTTTTCCCTATGTGTTTTTAATAAAATCAACTATATGTCGGCTACTGAGCTTGTCTGATGCTTTAAGCACACTATGATTTTAAATAATCAAGACACACAAATGACTCGAGGGAGCCAGAGAACAAGAGAGCCTAACCAGAATGGGGGAAAAACGGTTCCCGACCCTCCACCAATAAATTGCTGGCCTTTGCAGATTCTGCCATTAAGCTCCTGAAGTTGCCGGTAGGCAATAGGCTCCACCAGGGGTGGAACAGTTTCATTTCATTTATAATAGTCTTTGTATCTCAAAATCATTATCATGTGGTTAATAACAATTCTAAAAGTAACTTCTATTGCCAACTATGTATAAATAGCCTACATAAAGCCAACAAATAAAAACATTGCAGCCTGCAGGTATAAAATGTCCTGATTTTAAACATTGTATTAACTATTATCTTGGTTGGGGCCTGAAGCTCCCGCTAGCAAACTTGCAACATTGTATACATTTTCTGGGCCCTCAGAGTTTCCCGCACCATTGAGCTCCGGACAGACATAGCTGTAGGATATTTGCGCAAGGGATAAGAAGTAATCAGGTAGTCCTATTTTTATGACGTTTCCACCGGATCAGAGCATGACGTTTTTATTTTTTTTTCCTATCACGCCGAGTGGTTATCGAAAGAGAGCTGGAAAGATTTTTCACATAGGCTAAGTTGAGGAACTATTGTCATTCTCAATGGATTTTTAAAAACAGACTTTGTTCACTTGCTGTTTGAGGTGAAGAAAAAATTACTTTGAGAAGCTCCACAGTGGTGGTGAGTTAAGACAATCAGAAATACTATCAGATCCCCAAATGGGCACATTTATAGGCCTACATTTGCGCCGCAGGCCAGGTAGCCTAGGCCTACTTCTATGTATAATCAGGTGCGCGTCCTTACTCAACATTGACAGGAGCGTTACCAACAAAATACCAATTAATGAATTAAAAACTCGTAAATGGAATGAAATAAACCAAAACTGTAGCCTAGGTTGTGCGGTCTGCAAACAACGTGTCCACTCTGACAATGACAACAGTAAAATAATGTAATAGTAATATATTGAATGCATTAACATAACATAAAGCCCTAAATGGAATAGTCCCAAAATTGCAAACCCCACCCATCTGACACTCCAGGCAGGCTAGAGAACACTCAAAGTATAGTATTTGAACACCTTTCTGACACACACACCACACACCACACACACACACACACACTTCTTTCCTTACAGGCCTGAAGGATAATCCACATAATCATCTGTGTCCCTGTCCGATTACGAAAATCATATGTCACAAACGTTTCTATCAAATTCTATCAATTTGCTTTGTTTATAACTTCAAGTAGATTAAAATTCAACTCTTGACTTGAGGTTCCCCTTGGGGGCAGAGGTGCTCTGAGGGAAGGGGTGCACCTCTCCTGCCAGTGGGTCCCTCTTCCCACTGATCCCCCTCCAGCCCAGAGAGGACTTCAAGAACATCCTGCTGTCGTCCAAACCGTTGTGATAAAATAAAGTGTTTTTATTGAAAACTTCAATGCTGCGGTATTCTAGTAGGAGTGTATACAAGTGTAGTAGTCTGAGTGTAGTTATTTCTGATTAAATGTGTTATCTAACTGCCCCACAATACAAAGTAATAAGGTTGATATAGTAGTATATAAAAGTAATCAGACCAATTATTTTACTACATTTAACTGACTATATTTAAGTAAAACTTGTTAAACTTAAACCACCACAAAAATGCTTACATAGAGGTAAAGCAAGTCCCACAATTTTATTTCATTTAAAATGACCATCTTATTTTCGCAGAAGAGTACCCTCGACGTAGGCATAATTTGGCTTAATTGTCTGCAATTAAACGTGTTAACTAAATCATCATAGTTGACAGGATACATTTACAGTCTAAACAGTCTAATTTTATTTCAGTTGTAATGTCACATTCTTCCACTTTATTTTTATTTTTATATTTTGTTCCTGATAGGATGTTTCATCATTGGGGCGGGAGTAGTGGCCATTTACCATGCCATTTCTGCTGTCTAGTATTAAGGCGGCTTGACATCGTAACAGCGTCAGATCAGCTTGTCTACTAGTTTTAGTCCGCTGTTTTTTTCGTTGCAACCAGGGTTATTTTAGCTCGGAGCGCCGCGTAATCTCCCATTAGTAGCGTGTTAAGAAATACAGCGGTAACCTGCAGGTAAGACGCAGGTTCCGCGTCTTTGTTGCAATCAGGCCAGTGTTCCTGTTTGAATCAGGTTAAGGTTGAGTTTATCAATGACAGGGTTAGCTTTTGTTATTGGAAAAGTCCAGATAGTCCCTCCCTGGTTCAGTCTGTTTGCTTCCGTTTCCTTTTGAGTATCTTGGCATAGTAATAATGAATTTATGGTTATGCAAACACAACTTTGAGACAGAGCCCTGCAGGTGGAAGTGTTTTTTACTACAGGACAACCTGTCTGTACCAGTTTCTACACTATGACCCTTTTTGACCTTTTTTAAAAATAGTAACACACATAGACTTATCTCAGGCTTTTCAATCTATGAATGAACTGATATCACCTTGTTCATGTAATATTTACTCCCTCTGTCTCTGAAGTAACATTTTGACCTGTTGATCAACTACATTGCCAATGCCAACACAGTTGTTAGTCGTTACAGAAATGCATGCCAATCACGGATAACAATATAATTAGTGGAAATATGGCGTCAATAGCAAGTCGCATGATTTTAAAGGGGGAACATTGAAAATGTTTGGTATTTTAAGAATTAATTGAATCGATATGACAAGTTAATTCGATGTATTGACTACAGATTTGGGTATGTTGCATCGGTCTTATCTGTTAAATCCATTCCTTTTGTTTTTGTCTTCATAGGTGAACGGAGGGATCGAGAAGCGGCTCGATAAGGAGGTTCTACACTATGACTACCACGCCTCATTCTTCGACATATTTGTAAGTCCAGGATGCTATCTCTATGCTCAGTCAGAGTACAGTGCTCATTTGTTATCCAGATCAGGCAGAAATGATGATGTAAATTGCGACTGAATCTCTCTCTAACACAGCTCCTGGCTGTGTTACGGTTTGCAGCCCTAATCTTGGCCTATGCAGTGTGTAAACTGCGTCACTGGTGGGCCATAGCGGTAGGTGAACCGTCCTATGCCTCAAACACATTTTCACATTTGCTACACTAGAGGGCGCTGTTGCTCTTCTAGTAACAAGTCCTGGCTAGGTCCTGTGTTACGTATTCATTGTGCCTGTTTTCAGTCGAGCAATGAATCGAATAGACAGTAATTGCATGGCAACACATTTCCTGTTAGTCTTTCATTAGTCCACTTATGATGCTGTGCCATATTTTATTTTCATGATTTCATTTTTACGGATGTAATAATGTATTTAATGCCAACTACAAAAAGTAATTGTTTACTGATCCATGTCTTTCCATCACAGATAACCACAGCAACCACAAGTGCTTTCCTGATCGCAAAAGTCATTTTATCAAAGGTATGCTTTTATTACAGTAGATCTGACATAATTTTAACAGGAAAAATGAAAATGGATTTCATCATTTGAATACAATAGGAGAGATATGCATTACGTCTTCTCTCTGACATATTTGAAGGATGGTAAGATGTTTAGATTTTTCATGTTTTAATTGAGAATCGAATAATGTAAGCATTGCTGTAGGACCTGGTGTTGGTGCATGTCAGTGTTTTTGTCAGTATGCAAGTAACAAATATGTTTGCTTATGTGTTTTTTGGTATATGAACTAAGAGCAAGTCAGTTTGAAATGTAATAGTTTTTTTGTGTTTGTCTGCGTGTTCCAGCTCCTTTCCCAGGGGGCCTTTGGGTACCTGCTGCCCATCATCTCTTTCATCCTGGTCTGGATAGAGACGTGGCTACTAGACTTTAAGGTCCTACCTCAGGAGGCTGACGATGAGAACAGTGAGTATGAGAAACTCTCCCGTCGCACTCCTATGGTGCGTCCCAATAATATCTCCTTTCTCCTGAAGTGTACACCCCTTCACCACTTCCCACAAATCTAAAAGCATTGGATTGGTGGAGGCATGGGCTACAGGGAGTCTTCACCATGTTTATGAACAGTCATTTCCTTTCAAATCAGGAAATGAAAGGGAAGTGAACAAGTACACACTTTGGGAGGAATAGAGATAATTGGGACGTAGCCCTAGACAATCTTCTAAATTGACTTTATTGATTCACGCTCACAGTTTACAGAAACTGAAGAAATACAGAATTTACATCATAAAAATGTAATATAAAAACACATGTAGAACACATGGGTTACATATCCTTTTGTCTTGATTGGAGTCATTGTATTGTTAAAAGATCATTTAAAAAAAAACATTTAAGAGCTCAAATTATTGTAGTGGGTCTCTTTTGACAAACAAACTTGCAATTCTGCTGTTTTCCTTCACTGCATTCAGCGAAACATGACCGCATCTGTATATGCAGTGCATTCGGAAAATATTCAGACCCCTTCACTTTTTCCACATTCTGTTACGTTACAGCCTTATTCTAAAATGGATTAAATAAAACATGTTGTCATCAATCTACACAAAATACCCCATAACGACAAAGCGAAAACAGGTTTTTAGAAATTGTAGCAAATTAATAAAAAAAACTAAAACACAAATACCTTATTTACATAAGTATTCAGACATTTTGCTATGAGACTCGAAATTGAGCTCAGGTGCATCCTGTTTCCATTGATCATCCTTGAGATATTTCTACAACTTGATTGGAGTCCACCTGTGGTAAATTCAATTGATTGGACATGATTTGGAAAGGCACACACCTGCCTATATAAGGTCCCACAGTTGACAGTGCATGTCAGAGCAAAAAACAAGCCATGAGGTTGAAGGAATTGGCCGTAGAGCTCCAAGACAGGAGTGTCGAGGCACAGATCTGGGGAAGGGTACCAAAACATTTCTGCTGCATTGAAGGTCCCCAAGAACACAGAGGCCTCCATCATTCTTAAATGGAAGAAGTTTGGAACCACCAAGACTCTTCCTAGAGCTGGCCGCCCAGCCAAACTGAGCAATCGGGGGAGAAGGGCCTTGGTCAGGGAGGTGACCAAGATCCCGATGGTCACTCTGACAGAGCTTCACAGTTCCTCTGTGGAGATGGGAGAACCTTCCAGAAGGACAACCATCTCTGCAGAACTCCACCAATCAGGCCTTTATGGTAGAGTGGCCAGACGGAAGCCACTCCTCAGTAAAAGGCACATGACAGCCCGCTTGTAGTTTGCCAAAAGGTACTTAAAGGATGCAGACCATGAGAAACAAGATTCTCTGGTCTGATGAAACCAAGATTGCCTGAATGCCAAGCGTCACGTCTGGAGGAAACCTGGCACCATCCCTACGGTGAAGCATGGTGGTGGCAGCATCATGCTATGGGGATGTTTTTCAGCGGCAGGAACTGGGAGACTAGTCAGGATCGAGGGAAAGATGAACGGAGCAAAGTACAGAGAGATCCTTGATGAAAACCTCCTCCAGGGCACTCAGGACCTCAGACTGGGATGAAGGTTCACCTTCCAACAGGACAACAACCCTAAGCACACAGCCAAGACAACGCAGGAGTGGCTTCTGGTCAAGTCTCTGAATGTTCTTGAGTGACCCAGCCAGAGCCCGGACTTGAACCCGATCAAACATCTCTGGAGAGACGATCTGCAGAGGAGAATGGGAGAAACTCCCCAAATGCAGGTGTGCCAAGCTTGTAGCATCATACCCAAGAAGACTCAAGGCTGTAATCGCTGCCAAAGGTGCTTCAACAAATTACTGAGTAAAGGGTCTGAATACTTATGTAAATGTCTTTTTTCAGTTTTAAATGTTTAACAAATTTGCACAAAATAATTTGTCGTTATGGGGTATTGTGTGTAGATTGATGAGGGGGGAAAAAAAACAATTTAATCAATTTTAGAATAAGGCTGTAACGTAACAAAATTTTGAAAAAGTCAAGAGGTCTGAATACTTTCCGAATACTTCAGAAAGTATTCATACCCCTTGACTTATTCCATATTTTGTGTTGCAGCCTGAATTCAACATGGATCAAGTTGTTTGTTTTTCTCACCCATCTACACACAATACCCCATAACGACAAAGTGAAAACATGTTTTTAGAAATGGTAGCAAATTTATTGAAAATGAAATGCAGAAATATCTAATTTACATAAGCATTCACACCCCTGAGTCAATACATTTTAGAATCACCTTTGGCAGGGATTACAGCTGTGAGTCTTTCTGGGTAATTACTTGATAGCCATTTTCAAGTCTTGCCATAGATTTTCAAGCCGGTTTTAAGTCAAAACTGTAACTAGGCCAATCGGGAACATTCAATGTCGTCTTGGTAAGTAACTCCTGTGTATATTTGGCTTTGTGTTTTGTCCTGCTGAAAGGTGTATTTGTCTGTTGGAAAGCAGACTGAACCAGATTTTCCTCTAGGATTCTGCCTGTGCGTAGCTCTATTCCGTTAATGTTTACTCCTGAACTTATTTAGGCTTGCCATAACAAAGGGATTGAATACTTATCGGCTCAAGACATTTCAACTTTTCATTTTTAATTCCTTTGTAAAAATGTCGAAAAACATAATTCCACTTTGACATTATGGGTGTATTGTGTGTAGGCCAGTGACACAACATCTCCATTTTAAATAAAAGTCAAGCGGTGTGAATACTTTCTGAAGGCACTGTACAAGTGATACTATGTTGTTACAGTGACACTTATGTGTCATCATTGTGTTTTCATCCCATCAGGATTTCTTTCTATAATGGACGCCCCTGAAAGGGCCCCCTTCATGCACCCAGGACCACTTTCAGATGGGCAGTTCTACTCCCCGCCCGAGTCTGTGGCAGGTGAAAGCCCAAACAGATGTTCCTTTGTGTGGGAATCTAAGGTTTAAACTGACATTTTACGGGCCTGTATGTGGCGAATGTTGTAGCTATTTAAGCTGTGTTTAATCTCTTTGTGGGATTCACAGTGTATAAGTATCTTTTAAACAACATCAACGAGCAATTTCGTTTTGGCACCAACGACTGGTATGACAAATATTAGAGAAGCTCTCTGGCAACCAAGACAGTAGAGCCGTATGAAGTGTCATCAGAATAATATCTCGTATCTGTATACTCTGAAACAATATCACCATGCAGTGACACGTGTCATTTTCAAATCCATTTATTGCACAGCTTATTTAAACTATTTCCTGTGTCTGTGTGTGTTTTGGTATTTTCTTAATCTATTCAATTTTTTTGTGCTTGCTCCGTTTGTAGATTCGGATGAGGAGCTGCTGGATGACAAATGCGACCCGGAGAAGGCTCTTATTTAGCAGGTAGCTATACTGTCTGTACCACTCAAACTAATGAGGCAAACTAATTAGGCGTCTTGAAGGTAACTGAATAAAATCGATGGTCTTTTGGTGTCTAGAATAGTGCATATAATAGGTAGGATTTATTTAGAGTGTTATAAATAAGTGCTTCTAACACTCCAGCGTTATGGATGTTACATTTGCACGCAAAATCACAACTTTGTGTCTATAGTACCATTTTAGGGCATTGGTATTCAAACTTTTTCAGCGGGGACCCCACCCCAGATCTAATGACACTACCTTAAAATCTGTACATTTTCTCAATAAAATTGTATTTAGTTAATTATCTTTCTCAAATCTGTACTCAATTATTTTAGTTCCTAAATTATTATTATTGGATTTTTTTGGGGCGACCCAACTGCAGTTCCCCCACACCCCGACTTTGACTACCACTGCCTTAAGGCGTCTGCATGCTTCCCAGCCGAAACAGTTCGGAAGAGTTCGTGCATATATTATGATTACATTTTGTGACGTTTTTGTTCGTTTTGTACTTCGGTAAGGTTTTTTTAGGCTGTTTGGGCACACACATTTTTTTCTCAAGGCCAGCCGAAGTTCGGGAGCCGACGTGTACGCCCCTTCGTCCGAGCTTTGTCAGTGGTAGGGATTCTTCAATAAAGTCTTTGTCATTCAACGAGAGATGGCTTGTTTTCATGCACATTTTTTCATTGAGAAATACTGCACCAAACATCTTAGATGTAGAATTGCACGACTACGATCTCATTGGTAAAAACTTAAAAATTAATGACAGATTTCTTGAGTTATCAACTGGTTATGGCGTCTTGAAATTGACAAATAGTACTATTTGCAGCTTTTATTCGCCTTTTTCAAGAGAAGGTATTTTAAGGGAGTATGCGAGCACACTCGTCCGGTTCGCCTAGCAGACTTTGGCTGGCCACCAGCCGAACTGAAGCATGCTGACGCCTTTAGGGGGAGTGTATACCCAAAAAAGCAAACTTCTAAAATATTTGTATGTTGGAGAAATAAAGCAAATGAGAAGCATTATGGATGTTACATGAAATAGACAAGCTTTTTGGGGAGACTGAACATATAAGCAAAAGTCTGTGCGTTGCTAAGTCTTAGGTCAAAACATGGATAGCCATTCTCAAAGAATTCAAAAACGATAATATAGAAATATTGCTATTTCCATTATTACGTTAGAGAGCAAAAACGACCATTATGGATGTTAGTCTGAAATCATAAAATCTATCATAACGCATTTGTCATTTGCAATGTTTTTAAAAAGACAGCATTAGGCATAGTACCTGCATAATTATTTATTATATTATTTATAATTACAGTTAGCCTGAATAATACACACAGCGAGACTCCACACCACATAGGTTATTTTTCTCTCTCTTTATAAATATCTAAATGACCCTTTACCAGTTGATTGTAGACCCAAAGATAAGCGTTTTTTTTGTATGAAATATTGTAACAATATGCAAATGAGGCATGTGCCTATACTGCCAATCCATTTTTCTGGACACTGGATGAAATCAGTATATTTTGGGGGGCTTTCATTTGAAAAAGACACTCCAGGACTATTCACAGTTAGTTGATAAGCACTCTTCTCATCTTTCTATCTAAAAACATTGTACTGCCATGTATGAGAAATCAATTTCAGCATATAGTTTCCAAGATAATCTTAGCTAGAACACATCATTTTCAAGATATCAACAATTGCGTCAGTAAAAGTATGAAGAATATATCTTGGAACAAGCACACAAAATGTGGTGAATGCACAAGCTTCTGAAGCTAAGATATGATGCATCAATATCCATCACATCCACAACCGTTATGGATCTCATAACGCTGAAAATGGATACTAAAATTGAAAAGAGAGAAACTAATTACAGACCATATGAAACATTGATGAATGAAAGTTAGCTTTACAGAGGAAGTTTCAAGATCAGATGTAAGGTGCATGTTTTACAAAAACTTTTCCTAAAAAACGTTATGTTACATTGCCTGTAAAATCCCCATCAAAATCCGCCAATTTAAGATAGATGTTTTTTATTATTATTATTTGTTTTGCTCTACGACCCCCACACGTGTCAGGGGACTTGTCTGAAGTCTGTTTGTAGCGTCCGAACCTTCTCTTTCCATGACATACACTGACCAGGTGAATCCAGGTGAAAGCTATGATCCCTTATTGATGTCACCTGTTAAATCCACTTCAATCAGTGTAGATGAAGGAGAGGAGATGGGTTAAAGAAAGATTTTTAAGCCTTGAGACAATTGAGACATGGATTGTGTATGTGTGCCAATCAGAGGGTGTATGGGCAAGACAAAATATTTAAGTGCCTTTGAACGGGGGGTATGGTAGTAGGTGCCAGGCGCACCGGTTTGAGTGTCAACTGCAACGCTGCTGGAGTTTTGACGCTCAACAGTTTCCCGTGTGTATCAAGAATGGTCCACCACCCAAAGGACATCCAGCCAACTTGACACAACTGTGGGAAGCATTGGAGTCAATAGGGCCTGCATCCCTGTGGAACACTTTCGACACCTTGTAGTCCATGCCCTGACAAATTGAGGCTGTTCTGAGGGCAAAGGCGGGGGTGCAACTCAGTATTAGGAAGGTGTTCCTAATGTTTTGTACACTCAGTGTAAATTGTATGCGCAAAGAAATTGGGAAATTATATTATTTTATACCACAGTTGCTCAGAGAAAGAGATTGTGTTTAACAAGTAATAAAACAAAATCTCAAAAAGGTAAAGGTCAAAATGATTGCCACCCCAGTTTTCAATACTCCGGCACCTTCCCCTTGTGAGGATATTGGAACTGATCCTTTTTCTAAAATGTTTTATGAGATTGGAAAACAAATTAGGAGGGATCTTAGACCATTCCTCCATACATAATCTTTCCAGATCATTGATACTTCGTCTGCACTTATGGACTGCCCTTTTCAATCAAACCACAGGTTTTCAATGGGGTTCAAGTCCAGAGATTGATATGGCCATTGCAAAATGTTGATTTTGTGGTCAGTTAACCATTTCTTTGTGGATTTTGATGTGTGCTTGGGGTAATTCTTTTTGCTGGAAGATCCACTTGCGGCCAAATTTCAGCCTCCTGGCAGAGGCAACCAGGTTTTTGGCTAAAATGTCCTGGTACTGGGTAAAGTTCATTTTGTCGTTGACCTTAACAAGGGGCCCAGGACCAGTGGAAGCAAAGTAGCCCCATAACATCAAAGGTCCACCACCATATTTTACAGTAGGTATGAGGTACTTTTCTGCATATGTATTCTTCTTTCGACGTCAAACCCGCCACTGGTGTGTGTGGCCAAAGAGCTCTATTTTCATGTCATCTGACCATATCACCGGTTCCAATCCAAGTGCCAGTGCCGTTTAGCAAACTCCAGGTGTTTACGTTTGTTGGATGACATGAACATTTAGCTCTTTGGCTATGCACACCAGTGGTGGGTTTGGTGTTGAAAGAAGGATACATATGCAGAAAAGTACCTCATACTTACTGTAAAATATGGTGGTGGATCTTTGATGTTATAGGGCTATTTTGCTTCCACTGGTTAAGGTTAACGGCGTAATAAACTTTACCCAGTACTAGGATATTTTAGCCAAAAACCTGGTTGCCTCTGCCAGGAGGCTGAAACTTGGCCACAAGTGGATCTTGCGGCCAAGTTTCGTATACAATAATATAATTTAATATAGCAATATAGTATACAATATAGCTCAGTATTTGTATTATTTATTTTATTTTTTTGCAAATCTTTATCAAGGGTGCCAAGAATTTAGGATCTGACTGTATAGGTGTGAAAAACACCCCCCACCTTTTGCCCTCAGAACAGCCTCAATTCGTCGGGGCATGGACTCTACAAGGTGTCAAACGTTCTACTGGGATGCTGGCCCATGTTACCTCCAATATTTCCCGCGGTTGTCAAGTTGGCTGAATGTCCTTTGGGTAGTGAACCAACCTTGGGGGAAACTGTTGAGCGTGAAAAACCCAGCAGTGTTGCAGTTCTAGACTCAAACCGGTGGGCCTGGCACCTACTACCATACTCTGTTCAAAGGCACTTAAATCTTTTGTCTTGCCCATTCACCTTCTGAATGGCACACATACACAATCCATGTCTCAATTGTCTCCAAGGCTTAAAAATCATTCTTTAACCTGTATCTTCATCTACACTAATCAAAGTGGATTTAACAAGTGACATCAATAAGGGATCATAGCTTTCACCTGGATTCACCTGGTCAGTCAGTCATGGAAAGAGCAGGTGTTCCTCATGTGTATATACACTCAGTGGCCAGTTTATTAAGTACACCACCCCGTTCACAAAAATTGTTTGCTCCTACGGACAGTGAGTCACGTGCTATATAAAGCAGGCAGACTGGCATCGAGGCATTCAGTTACTGTTCGATTGAATGTTAGAATGGGCAAAATGAGTACCTAAGCGACTTTGAATGTGGTATCATCGTCGGTGTCAAGCGCGCTGGTTCCAGTATCTCAAAAACGTCCGGCCTCCTGGGCCTTTCACGCACGATGGGTTTACCGAGAAGGGTGCGACAAACAAAAAACATCCAGTCAGCGGCAGCCCTGTGGGCAAAAACAGCTCGTTGATGAGAGGTCGAAGGAGAATTGCAAGAATCTTGCAAGCTAACAGGCAGGCCACAAACGGGCAAATAACGGTGGTGTGTAGATTGGCATCTCGGAACGCACAACTCGTCGGTCCTTGTCACGGATGGGCTATTGCAGCAGACAACCACAACAGGTTCCACTCCTATCAGCTAAAAACAAGAAGCGGCTCCAGTGGGCATGCGAACACCAACACTGGACAATTGCCTGGTCTGACAAATCCCGGTTCCTGATGCTTCATGCTGAGTCAGGATTTGGCATAAGCAGCATGAGTCCATGGCCCCATTAAGCCTGGTGTCAACGGTACAGGCTGGTGACGGTGGTATAATGGTGTGGGGAATGTTTTCCTGGCACATGTTAGGTCCCTTGATACCAATTGAGCAACGTTTCCATGCCCTGAAGAATTCAGGCTGTTCTGGAGACAAAGGGTGGTCCGACCCGGTACTAGATAGGTGTACCTAATAAACTGGCCCCTTAGTGTATGTGTAAATATATAAGCCGAATGATAATGTTGACATGAAAATACTTCCATAATACTGTATTTTTAGGACAGTATTTCTGGTTTGATGTAGGTCATAATAGAATTGCTGTTTTGCTTGCTTATAACATGCTTTGTTTTTTTTGTTTTTGAGAAGTACCAGTGGGAGGTGAATCACGTTTGAAGATTCACAACTTTGAGTGACTGCATCCAAAGTTACCCAAGTGCTCACAGCTGCTGCCCCATCTAACCATGGGGGAAGACAGCCTTACAACCACTGCATGTTCTATATCCCTCCACTGAGAGATCTTTATTCCTAAGCCAATCACCCTCTACACACCTGCTTCATATCCCTTCGCCTCTTCACTCAAGCTTCCAAACAGTTGTTTTTAAAGAACTGAGTACATACTGTTAGTTTTTTTTGTTGCCAGATATAAACAAGATCCTGATGTGCTTATTCTTGTGTCTCTTGCTGATATGTTTAGAAGCTCCGTGGCTCCAAAATCAGTTCAGAATTTGACTGAGAAGTCAGCATGTGCAGTGTGTGCCAATTTCAAGTGTGAACACTGGGCTGTTGAGCCCTAAAGATGGCACTTGAATATAAATAGATTGCTTAATATCAATAGAACATATGTTCAGAGTAAACTCCTTTAGACCGCTGTCAAGGGGGGAAAATAGAATAGACTACATAACCAACACAGCTGTGCCTGCATATGTAAAAACTTCAGTCCGTAATCTAAATATGTCCGAATGCATGACTTTGGGAACTCAATGAATGGGAATGGAACAAATTGTATACAGTATACTTTTTAATCACTGGAAAGTGTTATACCGTTTTGTTTTCTAAACTGACATTTTGGAAGGATAAGGGCATTGTTAGCCCGGAAACTTCTTAGTAAACTTTCCACTTGGCTTTGCAAAATGTATCAATATACAAATAAAAAATGTCAGAATAAATTTTCCATGAATTCATATTAGAGTTCAACACTGCTATCTTTCACACCACCTGGACGTTTCATACTTTAATCAAAATGTCTGCAATCATTCACATCTGCATGTTATGTTTTCAAGTGAACCGTCCGAGAGCTTTTTATGCAGAAGCAGACTAATGGAGGTGGTGCTCTTACCATTGTGAATGCAGTTCCACACATGGGAATACGCAAACAAATAGCTAACAGAGGGAACCGTTTCATGTAGTGGTTAACTAACAGGAGTTGTGTTAGCATGAATTAATATAACTCCCACCATTTCTATTCACCATGACAGGACTATGAAAATGGCAATAAAATATGTCAAAAACATGTTTCCTCAGACTATCACAATCACGGATCCCAGTTGTGTGTACATGTCACCATGGAAATAACATAGGTTGGATGTAGATTTTACATTGAAATGTATCTTTGATAACCTTTGTTATTAGGTTCACCTCTGAAAATGTACTTGTGTTGGCATGTAATGCTCTTAACTTGCATTCATAATTAGTGTATGCTGATTCATGGACCTGTAATCAAGAATTTCAATGCGATCAGCGGTAGATCCGCGTAATAGTGCGCTTAACATTTAAAAGTAATTTCCGATTGAGCCGAAATACAGTTTACAGCACTTACCGTGAATGCAGTTTCCGTGAACACGGGAACATTGGCTTTTTATAAAAGGTGCATGCTGTAGCCGACAATGCGCAATCGGATTGAATCCCGGCCCTAGCGTTTTATTGAATACCCACTAAAGAGAGTATAGTCTTATTCAATACAGTCAAATAATAAGGTTCACCGTTCAAGACACCAAGTTCATTTTCACAGTGGCAAGCCTGTGTGCATTTAGGAAGCAACGGTTACTTAACACATTTGATCAAGATTTACATTGCTTGTCAATTCAATTAAGCAATAATGTGTATCTAGCTTTTTATGAGTGTTATTTGTTTTACTTGTCTTTGTATTTCGTTTTTTGTATGATAAATGTTTTGTTAATGATCGTATTATATACAGTACCAGTCAAAAGTTTGGACACACCTACTCATTCAAGGGTTTTTCTTTATTTGTATTATTTTCTACATTGTAGAATAATAGTGAAGACATTAAAACTATGAAATAACACATGGAATCCTGTAGTAACCAAAAAAGTGTTAAACAAATCAAAATATATTTTAGATTTTAGATTCTTCAAAGTAGCCACCCTTTGCCTTGATGAAAGCTTTGCACACTCTTGGCATTCTCTCAACCAGCTTCACGAGGTAGTCACCTGGACTGTATTTCAATTAACAGGTGTGCCTTGTTAAAAGTTAATTGTGGAATTTATTTCCTTAATGCGTTTGAGCCAATCAGTTGGGTTGTGACAAGGTAGGGGTGGTATACAGAAGATAGCCCTATTTGGTAAAAGACCAAGTCCATATTATGGCAAGAACAACTTTTTACTGGTACTGTATGTTCTGTTTATGCATTTCATTAGATTTTAATAAAATAAAACATTTGCACGTATTGTTAAAGGGCCTTCTTTGGGAGGTGTGGAGAGAATTTTTTATGACATTTCAGTAGCACTTTACATTACATCACAGAATAAATGGGTAATAACATGATAATAATGAACATTTACATAAATAATTACTCCAGCTCTGATTTCATTTGATTTCTGTGTAATTTGATTGTTTCAAGGTAAAATGTAAACAAGCTTGTTTTGCATAGGCCTACAATTCTACAAATGTATGAACCATAAGCTCTCGTTATGGGGTTTTAAGTAGCCTTTATTTTCTATAATGATAACATTTTTCTCATACAAAACAGCACGGAATTGTACAGAACCATTTTTGTTGTAACTTTTCTTTCACGAAGGCAGCGATTATTAAACCCATCCCCATCTGAAAATATTTGTTTATTTTGAGCAAGGGAAATGTCACTCTTCATACAAGCCGTATCAATGTATTAAAAAAATATCAATGATTTCACTGATAGACCAATTTATCTTCAACTGTAAGTGCTGTTATTGTGACGTGGCAACGTCTAGGAGCAACAATGGTTTAGCCGCGAAGTGGTATGCCACACAAGCTCAGAACGGGACCGCCAATTGCTAAAGCGTGTAAAAAATAGTCTGTCCTTGGTTGCAACACTCACACCGAGTTCCAAACTTCCACTGGAAACAACGTCAGCACAAGAACTGTTCGTCGGGAGTGATGAATCACGCTTCACCATCTGGCAGTCCAATGGTCTAATCTGGGTTTGGCAGATGCCAGGACAACGCTACCTGCCCCAATGCATAGTGCCAACTGTAAAGTTTGGTGGAGGAGGAATAATGGTCTGGGGCTGTTTTTCATGGTTTGGGCTAGGCCCCTTAGTTCCAGTGAAGGGAAATCTTAACGCTACAGCATACAATTACATTCTAGACGATTCTATGCTTCCAACATTGTGGCAACAGTTTGGGAAATGCCCTTTCCTGTTTCAGCATGACAATGCCCCCGTGCACAAAGCAAGATCCATACAGAAATGGTTTGTCTAGATTGGTGTGGAAGAACTTGACTGGCCTGCACAGAGCTCTGACCTCAACCCCATCAAACACCTTTGGGATGAATTGGAACGCCGACTGCGAGCCAGGCCTAATCGCCCAACATCAGTGCCCAACCTCACTAATGCTCTTTTGGCTGAATGGAAGCAAGTCCCGGCAACAATGTTCCAACATCTAGTGGAAAGCCGTCCCAGAAGAGTGAAGGCTGTTATAGCAGCAAAGGGGGGACCAACTCTATATTAATGCCCATGATTTTGGAATGAGAGGTTCGATGAGCAGGTGTCCACATACCTTTCGTCATGTAGTGTATTTTGGGTTCTGGTGAGGTATGACAGTTGAACTAAGGCCTAGATTCAATCAGATCAAGTGTTAACCGGTCTGGTGATACTGATTGTTTGTCGGCACTGGTGATTTGTTTACATAGCAGGTTAGGATAATTAACGTAGCAGCTTATGATAATAAGGTTCAGGTAAGGAAAAGGGTTAGGCTTAGCTAAAATGCTACAACTGTTATTATTGACGCTACAACTAGATGGAGCTGTACTGGTAGCCACAACTGTACAAACCATCAGTCTTGACAAACCATCAGTATCATAACACTGGCGATAGCCGACACCTGCATAGCTGATGTTTTGGGTGTGTCATAGGTGTAACTGCGTTGGAGCTGTCAAATCGGTGAGCAGCTGCTCGTCTGGTCATTGTCACGAAGCCACACCCGTCCAACTTGCGTAAGAAGTTCAGAATGAGAAAGTGTAGGCTATATAGAAATAATGACACTCAAATTGAATACCATTAAACAAAATAATAAGAATTTATATTAGGCTAATCGAGGTGTAGATAACAACACACATTCGATTGTTCGAACTTGTAACAAGGCTGCATGGGGTTATTACTAACGTGACTCGGGGCATCCAATGGCAATGTCTGTGAAAGCCTTTGCTGATTTGACAGCTCCAACGCAGTTACACCTCCGACATCGCCTGCATAAAAACATTGAAACTGCTATGCAGTTCTCGGTTATCGCGGGTTAAGGCAGAACTGATTGAATCTAGCCCTAAACTCATGAGGCATTTAAATTATATTAATAAAGAATCAATGAGTATGTTTACATGCGCACTAATAATTCGATATTAAACTGATTATGGCATTTAAACAGGAGGGAAATCGTTCTTCTTGCAAAGCATGTAAACGTTTTAAACTATTAAATTAATCTGACTATGTAACATTCATGTTATTTTTTCATGTTGTAGCCTACACAAAAGACATGATCGACAAGCTTTGTTTGTATCAGTATATTTGTAACAGTATATATGTTGGCTGTTGTAACAGTATATTTAGGCAAGCTTATCAAACACATGCAAGATGCATACAGGCAGTCAAAATAGTGATTATTTTCTCATTATCATTGCAAACATTGGCTAGTTTTTCAGAAACTCTCGCTACGATATGGCAGCATAACTGAAGATTATCATCACAAATAGTAGGCAGTCTAAAGCAGTCGTTGACAAACGACGTAAGGAACTTGTAAAAAGGGCTGTCCTGCTCCTCTCCTCGTTACTCAACTTCCCCTCACAGTCCCTTTAGTTTCCCTTAAGTCCGTTTTTTTTGTCTGCTCAGCCTACCTAAATTATCCCTCACCCATCATAGCCCTGCCATTCCCAACCAATCAGAGTGCTTGGAAATGTGCATCTGGACACTACAGCCGCCCACTCAGGTCAGAGTGTTATCGTCGTCTCGCATGTTTCTGGGTTTTTACATGTTGTGTAATAATAGGTACAACGAATTACTTACTGTTACTTTGTCTTTCAGACATATGTTCTACTTTAAGGCTGTTACTATTCTTTGATATTAGAGTTGCCAATACTGCTTTGCCTATTGTTTATCGTATGTAGTATTATTCCGAACTGCCATAAGTGTTATTGCAGTGGTTGCACAAGGTTTAATTGTTGTATTGGTAAGCATAGTCTTTTGCATGCGCACACTACCACAGCGTTTTCCATAGTGGCCTTTATTAAGGTGTTTTATTGTGCTGCCATGGGCGAGCTTCTGGAGTCATCCCAGACAGTTCTTGGAGCTTGCTCACGCCCAGAGTAATTTACGACCCTGTGGCGCCAGGGCAGATCTGATAAGGTCTCAGCCTGGCAGATTCTCACACAAGGCTGGAGAGAGAGGGTGCCATAAATCTTGACCCTTTGTCAATCCAAGTAATTGGTTTCTCTCTCTCTCCAAGAGGTGAATGTTTAAGTTTATGTTTATATTGATGCTGTGTATATAGCCCTTTATAGACATGTTGTAAGTGTAATGCCATTTGCCATTTATTAATTACATACAGTTGAAGTCGGAAGTTTACATACACCTTAGCCAAATAAATTTAAACTCAGTTTTTCACAATTCCTGACATTTAATCCTAGTAAGAATTCCCTGTCTTAGGTCAGTTAGGATCACCACTTTATTTTAAGAATGTGAAATGTCAGAATAATAGTAGAGAGAATGATTTATTTCAGCTTTTATTTCTTTCATCACATTCCCAGTGGTCAGAAGTTTACATACACTCAATTAGTATTTGGTAGCATTGCCTTTAAATTGTTTAACTTGGGTCAAACGTTTCGGGTAGCCTTCCACAAGCTTCCCACAATAAGTTGGGTGAATTTTGGCCCATTCCTCCTGACAGAGCTGGTGTAACTGAGTCAGGTTTGTAGGCCTCTTTGCTCGCACATGCTTTTTCAGTTCTGCCGAAAAATGTTCTATAGGATTGAGGTCAGGGCTTTGTGATGGCCACTCCAATACATTGACTTTGTTGTCCTTAAGCCATTTTGCCACAACTTTGGAAGTGTGCTTGGGGTCATTGTCCATTTGGAAGACCTATTTGCGACCAAGCTTTAACTTCCTGACTGATGTCTTGAGATGTTGCTTCAATATCTCCACATAATTTTCCTTCCTCATGATGCCATCTATTTTGTGAAGTGCACCAGTCCCTCCTGCAGCAAAGCACCCCCACAGCATGATGCTGCCACCCCTGTGCTTCACGGTTGGGATGGTGTTCTTCGGCTTGCAAGCCTGCCCATTTTTCCTCCAAACATAACGATGGTCATTATGGCAAACAGTTCTAATTTTGTTTCATGAGACCAGAGGACATTTCTCCAAAAAGTACAATATTTGTCCCCATGTGCAGTTGCAAACCGTAGTCTGGCTTTTTTATGGCGGTTTTGGAG